ATTGAAAAATATATATATATTTGTAAGCAACAGCAGCAGTCACTGGCTGCTTTCGTTTTAATTATTCTTAGGCACGTGATCATCCTTTCACTATCACTCGTGGTATTTCACCTGCTTTCTTTTGCTTACAGTTATTTTTGTTAATTATCATCCTTTACAATAACATTTCTTTAATATGAGATTAACCAACCATTTGTGTGTAGTAACTGCTGATCTGGGATAACACAACATCTAAATCAAGTCATTTTAGCATGTCAAAGTCACATTTATTTCTATTAAATATATTTTCCAAACAACAAAATTGCGGCTAGTGAAAATGGCAAGTGGCTAGTAATGTTGGAAATCTACTAGCCACAGTGGCTGATGATCAAAAAAGTTAATGTAAAGCCCTGCACATAGGCATTAATAGCTCCGCCCTCTGTTGAAAAAGAGCACAGTCTTATTTGCATGTAAAGCGACAGTCACCAAAACAGCACAGTTAGGATCAAAGGCTGCGTCCGAAACCGCATACTTCCATACTATATAGTACGCCAAAATCAGTATGCGAGCCGAGTAGTATGTCCGAATACATAGAATTCGAAAATCAGTATGCGAAAAAGTACCCGGATGACTTACTACTTCCGGCGAAATTATGGAGTGCGCATCTCAAGCACGCTGCGCTATCCCATGATGCCCCGCGAGCGAATTCATGAATGGGAGTGAAGCGACGCAAATTACGCAGGTAGGTCGCGTGACCATGACAAAATGGCGGATGTAGTTTGTCCGAATTCCATTCATACTTTCACATTCATACTGTATAGAACGTACTTTTCTAACGGCTGAGTAGTAAGTTTAAATTCAAATACAGTACCTACTGAGTAGTAGGCGGTTTCGGACGCAGCCAAAGTCTAAAAGGGTCAGTTTCAGAGAGTTGTAAAACATTAGCTGTGTGTTAGTTTGAGCTGAAACCACATACAGTACACACTCTAGGGCAGGGGTCACCAACCCTGTTCTTAGAGAGCTACCTTTCTGCACATTTCAGTTGCAACCCTGACCAAACACACCTGTTTGTAATTATCAAGTGCTGCTTTAGGTACTATTAATTGGTTCAGGTGTGTTTGATCAGGGTTGGGACTGAATTCTGCAGGAAGGGTTGGTGACCCCTGCTCTTGGGTCATCAGACTTATTTTACATCTTGTAAAAGGAGCATAATAGGTCCCCTTTAAACTTGAAGTTTCACTGAGCAGTACATGTGTTGTTGTTTTTTAAATTGGTGAAAAAAAGAAGACAGCAGCCTGACACCTCGAAACTTGAATGAATCAATTTTATTGGCATCCTGATAAAAATGACTGACACGTCTGAATGTGATCTTGAATTAATCAAATGCGATGGAAATGAATGACGACATCACCACACACCTTCCTGTGACCTCAAACTTAATTCTCTCACACACACTCACGCACACACACACCTTTCACACATCAACCATCTGCAGAATGTGACCATGCGCTGAGCATTTCTGCAGCATAAAGGTGATTTCTGATTCCTAATTTATATTAATATCAGTCATGAATTGTTAAACGCTGCTCGAGAATGGTTTATTAGCAATTATTATAAAATTTTGCATATAAATAATATTGAGTCTGCATGAAACTCGACGTGCAAAAAATAATCGTGATTCAATCCCAATCGACTGACCGGACAGAAATGATTTGTGTGTCGTTCATTGCATGAAACTTAGCAAAAAGCCTATACATATATGCAGAAGATTCAACATTAACAGTGCAGATTCTGCTTATTCACATAGCAGTTTGCTAATGTCTCATTGCAATTAAAAATTTGTATTACTATTTGTATTACTTAGTATTTAAGCTTGTCTAAAATCCTGGAGAATTTACTTGAGAATCAAACTGACTTGCTTAAAACAACACTACCAGCCAAAAGTTTGGGGTCTGTAGGATTTTTAAATGTTTTAAAATAATTTTCTCCTGTACAACATGGCTGCATTTATTTCATCACAAATAAAGTACACATTGTACAATTGTGGAGTTAATCATTTAATTTATTCCAGGTATTATAATGATGATTTTTCAGCAACATTACTTCAGTCTTCAGTCAAATGATCCTTCAAAAATCCCTTTCTAGGAGAAAACCTCAGACTTCCCTCTCCCCAGACACTTCCTCCAGCTCCTCCGGGGGGATCCCAAGGTGTCTTAGGTGAAAGGTCAGACTAAGTGTAGTTCACAAACCCCTTATGAGTTCAATGACATCAAGGACTGTGATGTCGACCGGTATGGCACAGCCGGGGCCCCACTCTGGAGCAAGGCCTGGGGTTGGGGCTCGTATGCGAGCGAGCGTCTGGTGGCCGGGTTTTTTCCCACGGAACCCTCCGGGCTCAGCCAGGGGGATCTGTAAGGGACCGGTGCATTGTGAAATGGGTGGTGGTGGTAGGTTAGGACCATGACAACCCGTTCGTCAGACACAGAAACTTAGGACATGAACAGAATATTTTAAAAAAAATAATAAATAAATAAAAACGATTAACTGGTAGTATTTACTTAATAACATCATAAAATAAAGAAAATAATCTTATTCTTTCTCTGAATAAAGACTATTTTTCTGTAAAAAAAAAACAAAAACAAAAGCGTCAAATTGACTTAAAAATTTTCACAAATACAGAACACATTGTACAATTATGTAATATTATTGCACTATAAAATAACCGTTCAAAAGGAGTTTATCATTTAATTTAATAGTAAAAGTAATTATTATTATTATTATTAATGGTAATAGTAATAAAGGCAATAATAAGTATTAATGGAATATTCTTTTAATTTGAAACTGCATACAATAAGAAAGTCGTTTTTCAAATTTTAATAAATATTTAACACTTTTTTTTGCATTTAATAAATGCTGCCTTGATGACCAGAATAATTTAAAAAAACATGAAAAAAATAATAAAATAGACCCCAAACAATTGACCGATATTATATACTTATAAACATCTTACAATGAAGAAAATAATCTTATTCAATCTCTGAATAAAGACAATTTTTTCTTTAAAAAACAATTAAAGCAATTTCTCGAACTTGTACTGAAGCTATAGAAAAATTAGCGAACAATCTAAAAATAATTGTATTTTAAATGAATAAAATGTTCTTGCTGAAAAATGGGTGAAAACTAGGGGTTTTAAGGATATAGTAGCAAAGTATGAATGAGTATTTTTGATTTTTAAAATACACAACCTGAAAAAAGTCTTGCAGGCTATCCATGTTTTAGGAACAACACATAATAAGTTGACTTCTAGTTGATCATTTGGTATCAGAAGAGGCTTATATAAAAGGCGAAGGCCTCTAGATGACGCTTATTTGACCAAAATAAAATATGATCATGTCTTGATTTTGAATGATTTAATTAGGACAGTAAGCTCTGACTCTGCTTAGACTAAAGTTTCATCACTGAACAGAAATAATGTCCAGTATAGAATATAAAGTCCTGCTGCAGTGGAGACAGAATGAATATTGTATCTGACTCCATCCATACATCTCTGCACTGACTTAAATCACTGATTAATAAAGTCATCTGGAATGGCAGAGAAAGCGTTCCTGCAGGACTCCACCAAGACTCTTTGGATTCATCTTCAGTGCCTCCTCCTCCATCTTACCCCAGACACGCTCAATAATGTTCATGTCTGGTGACTGGGCTGGCCAATCCTGGAGCACCTTGACCTTCTTTGCTTTCAGGAGCTTTGATGTGGAGGCTGAAGTATGTGAAGGAGCGCTATCCTGCTGGAGAATTTGCCCTCTCCTGTGGTTTGTAATGTAATGGGCAGCACAAATGTCTTGATACCTCAGGCTGTTGATGTTGCAGATCTCTCGCACGCCCCCCATACTGAATGTAATCCCAAACCATGATTTTTCCTTCACCAAACTTGACTGATTCTGTGAGAATCTTTGCTCCACGTAGGTTCCAGTAGGTCTCCTGCAGTATTGGTGATGATTGGGAAGCAGATCAACAGATGATTCATCAGAAAATCCACCTTCTGCCACTTTTACAAATGATCGACTAGAAGTCAAGTTATTACATGTTCCCCTTACAACTAGGATCCACGACAAGACTTTTGTCAGGTAGTGTGTGTTATTTTTATAATTAATTAACTTTAAAAAGGCTACCATATATTCTGTCATTTAGCTTCACAAGCAAATGTCTTTAAAAATGATTTCATAATTGCTCAAATAAACCAATTCGCAGTGTATATCCAAATTAAAACCATGCCACAGATGTGAAATGTGTGAAATGACTGAGCACATACTGTACGCACACATACTAAACCAGCGCAAACGCACACAGACACGCACGCACACAATCTAACACCCAAACACTAGAGATCTAACTATGGTCAATTAGGACACACACACACACACACACACACACACACACACACACACACACACACACACACACACACACACACACACATAAAGCATTTAACAGTGGTTAATGGCGGTGTGTGTAAAATGTGTTTATGAAGCGCGCATGTCCGTGTGTGTGTGCTTCATACCTGCCAACGTTAGTCTCTGAAAATCCGAGGGAGACCGGGGGGTGGGTGTCTGAATAACATAGCGAAGTACCTGTATTATGCACTGGGTTTCGGATCAGATACTATACCAAAGTCAGCGATCCGGGGGTCTTATAGACTGTACCAAAAAGCTGAGGACTGGGGAGGGGGGGTGAAATTACGAGAGTTTTCCAGGAGAAATAACAAAAGGGGAGGGTGGCGGAAGATGGATCTGAAATATGAGAGACTCTCGGGAAAAATTAGAGTGTTGGCAGGTATGGTGTGCTTGTGTGTGTATGTGTGTTTGAGAGGTAAAGGCACCAAGTTATGCATGTGAATTCTAATACCTGCACTGCTGCAAGAGATGTGTGTTTACATGAGTTTGTCTGTAGTATTTGCGTGTGTACATCATGTATGTCGTCGTTTGGCTATGCCGTTACGCAGAAGGCTTTATTTGAAATATATATCTATATATATTCGTATTTATTGTATTTTCAGAACACAATTATCCATGGCTCCTTTAAAAGGCGGGACTAGGGCGGGGCCACTGTCTTCGCCCCCTCTGAGTCACTGCACGCCTCTGAGGCCAGAGCTCCGGTCGTGAGGCGGGGCAACCAGTTGCCACAGGCAACACTAGTCTACAGGACGTGATGCCAAAGCGGATGGGCGGGGCCGTCTCAGAGGCTAGTCTCCCGTAGAAACATGGTCCCAATGTTATAGGACACTTTGCGGATGGGGGCGGAGCGAGTGCTGGTGAGAGAGGCGTGGCTTTGGGATTTCCCCGCCTCCAGGAAATAGCAAATTCCCGGGATCTCTTTGGGGAAGTTGTCGGGAAGCTCCTGCCTGGAGCGAGGGATGAAGGTGAACGAGCGGTCGTCCCGCAGGAGTCTGAGAAAACAAACACAAGTAAACATGAGTGAACTGAATCTGAAGCAACTGAAGGAAGAAATGAAATATGCTTGTTTTTCAGTTTTAAAAAAGGTTTATGCAACGCCAGTTTATTTTGGTCAGCCAAACATCCTTGAAATGAAATAAAGGAGTACACCTCCTTTAAAAATTAATATTTTTATCTTTTTCTCAGTGAATAAGACAATATATTTTAGTGCATTTAAACATAATGGTCTCATTAAACATGTATATATTCAATAAAGAATTTGATCATCTAACATTTCTAGACATGGAAAGATATACATTAAATTTCAATAGAAAAATAAAACTATTAACATTTTTAAAAATCCAAGCTTTCCAATTTTCAACTAAATGTAATATGTTTGGTGCTCTTGTTTTTTTTTTTTTTGGTCTTTATTAAAATTGTGTATATTATTTTCCCTAACAACACTAACCGGCCACTTTATTAGGTACACCAGTCCAACTGCTCGCTAACGCAAATTCCTAATCAGCCAATCACATGGCGGCAACTCAATGCATTTAGGCATGTAGACATGGTCAAGACGATCTGCTGCCGTTCAAGCCGAGCATGTGACTTTGAATGTGACATGGTTGTTGGTGCCAGACGGGCTGGTTTAAAGAGCATCTCTGAACGCACAGCACGTCCAACCTTGAAGCGGATGGGCTACAGCAGCAGAAGACCACACCGGGTGCCGCTCCTGTCAGCTAAGAACAGGAAACTGAGGCTACAATTCACACAGGCTCACCAAAACTGGACAATAGAAGATTGGAGAAACGTTGCCTGCTCTGATGAGTCTCCATTTCTGCTGCATCATTCGTATGATTTGGTCAAAATTTGGCATTAACAACATGACAGCATGGATGCATCCTGCCTTGTATCAATGGTTCAGGCTGGTGGTGGAGGTGTAATGGTGTGGGGGATATTTTCTTGGCATACTTGGGACCCATTTGTACCAATTGTGAGCTGAGTATTGATGCCGACCAAGGGCCTCATGTACGAAGACTTGCGTGGAAATCATACTAAAACATTGCGTACGCACAAAGCTGTAAATGTGCGGACGCAGAAAAAAATTCAGATGTATGAAACACTGCGTACGCCGAATCTCACGCATATTCTTTTGTACACCCGAATGAACCTGAAACTGCCTCCCCTCCCTGCCTCCTCCACCGTATGAATATGCTAATGACTCTACTTATGGCAAAACCCAACGAAAAAGCAACGGCAAAAGCAAGCAAAAAGAGAAACTTTGAACAGAACGTGAATTGGAGGTGCTGCTTTCGGAGGTAGACGGGAGAAAAGCGGTGTTATTTGCAAATTTGTTCTCCGGAATTAACAACAAAAGAAAAAAATAGAGAGTTTAGCTAATGCGGGTAACACAGTTGGGTCTGAGTGATTTAAAACGAAATAGTGTGATTTATAGGTGTAAAATGTTGCAGTACAAACAACAGTCTCAGTGGCGCAGCTCATAAGTCGCATGTCTACATGCTTTGACTTGTTAAAGCATGAACTCGGTTCGAATCCAGCGTCTGATGAACTCTTTTTTCTTTATTCCCCCGCTACATATCAGATTTTGCCTACTATTTATAACGAGAAAGACAAGTAGGAATCATTAATAAGTTTGTGCATCATATTTTATTTGCACATTTATTGAATGGAAATGTTTCTGATTCACGCATGCAAATTCATCTTCAGATGAATAGCAATGTCTTTATAGCAATGTGCGTGCGGTAGATTGCTCAGATTACATTGGGAAAACAGGCGACTGCTGCAAATTGTGCTTTAATGTTTAGCTGGTCAACTGTATGGTATGGGAACCTTATATACCTGCTAGATGAACCAGTCTCATACAGCTGCCATTGCAAGGCTCAGACACTTTGTAGAGAGCAATTTAACACAACTGCCTCTAGGAGTCGCCAATGGAAATAAAACACACACGCACAAAAAAATGTGCGTACGCCAGCCAGAAAGCTGCCGTGAAGTTGTGCACATTCCCACGTTCAGTTCATCGTTAGTTAATCCAAACATGAGCGATTTTGATCGTGAAACCTGGCGTACGCAAAGTTTTTGTGCGTACGCAGCGTTGATACATGAGGCCCCAGGTTTATGCCTTTATGAACACAGTGTCTCCATCTTCCGACAGTCTCTTCCAGCAGGATAACGCACCATGTCATAAAGCACGAATCATCTCAGACTGGTTTCTTGAACATGAAAATGAGTTCACTGTACTCAAATGGCCTCCACAGTCACCAGATCTCAATCCAATAGAGCACTTTTGGAATGTGGTGAAAAGGGAGATTCAAATCATGGATGTGCAGCCGATAAATCTGCAGCAACTGTGTGATGCTCTCATGTCAATATGGAGCAGCCTTAGTGTCGACGCATAGCCTTACGTCGTGGCCGTCGGCGTCGCTGACATGCACCGCTTAAAAAATGTAACTACACGTCGCAACGACGCGTAGCGCAAGCTCTGTGATTGGTCGGCTTGGTAGTGCTGATGAGTCTGGGCGGGACCGATAGCTGCGCAAGCCGATGGAGTGATTGTTTACAAGTGTGAAGTCCCGTGAAGGAGCTCGGTATGGAAAGTTTGAATGTGTTTACCTCATGGTTAAAGTTGTTGCACGTCCGCCAGTTTGAGCCACTTGTACATTCAGAAACCGTTCAGAAAAAAAAAACACCAGTGGAGAAACTCGACACAGAGGAACATTAAAACCTCACTGCCAACTAGCGTTTCGGAAGTGTTAATGCAGAACAGAAACAGCACGCAGAAGTATAAATGCAGAGCTACGCGCGTTACATGCGCCGTGGGTCACGGCGGTCACCTGACGCAGAAGTATAAACCAGGCTTAACAGCTACTCTGACTGACAGTGTTTACACAACAACGGCAAAGCTGGTTGAGGCACAATACTTCCTGGTGACGTGGAGCCGATCTGCGAATCACAGTACATTATGTTATCTGACCAATCAGAGCCTCTTGAGGGCGGGCTTTCGAAGGAACTAGGATATATGACAGCGGTTTTCATGTTAGCTGAGTAGCTGTATATAATTAAAGTAAGATATATATAAAAATAACGAGATTATCAAGAAATAAAGCATGAGCACACATTGATTTGCATCTTATAAACACAACCAAGCCTTAAAAACACACTCTTGACCACCCCTTTAAAAGAAAGATCTGTAAGGGGTGTATGTACATATATATTAATTTTAAGACTGTTTCAATCATTTGTGCACGTAAGCATATAAGAGTTTGAATGTGTGTACTTGATTATTCGTGTGCGGTGTGTGTTAGTGTGCACGTGAAAAACTGGGGGCTGCTGCTCCTGCATGTTGACGTGTGTGTGTGAAATCTTCAGAGCTGCTCTTGACTGCAGAGCATCGTCCTTGATGATCTCAGCTGAAGCAGGTTACCATAGAAACAGGTGTGACTGTCTCTACTGCAGCAGGGTTGCACATCAGTCGCTGCGAGCGGGAGTGTGTGGCTCTGGTATTCATAATGTATAGCAAATATAGCAAAATGAATAGATGTTGACCTTCTGGGGACATTTGTCTGGTTTTCTGGTATCGTGTAAATGTAAAAATACTGATTAGTTTAAGACTATTGTTTAGTTTAAGACTATGGATGGGGTAGAGAGACAGAGAATATATAGTTTATGGAGTAGATATACATTATTATGTTTGACGCAAGAACCTATAAAACATGAAAATGTGTGTGTGTGTGTGTGTGTGTGTGTGTCTGCGCACATGTGTATGTGCATTTGTCTCTGTGTGTTTGCATAGTATTTATTGGTGCATTTGTGAATGCATGTGCGTGATTGTGGGAGTGTGTGTGTGTGTGTGTGTGTGTGTGTGTGTGTGTGTGTGTGTGTGTGTGTGTGTGTGTGTGTGTGTGTGTGTGTGTGTGTGTGTGTGTGTGTGATTGTGCATGATTGTGTGTGTGTGTGTTTGTGTGTGTGTGATTGTGCATGATTGTGTGCATGATTGTGTGTGTGTGTGTGTGTGTGTGTGTGTGTGATTGTGCATGATTGTGTGTGTGTGTTTGTGTGTGTGTTTGTGTGTGTGTGATTGTGCATGATTGTGTGCATGATTGTGTGTGTGTGTGTGTGTGTGTGTGTGTGTGTGTGTGTGTTTGTATGCCACATAAGGACACAAATTTGCATAATGACATGAGTATGACAGGTATTATGAGGAGACGGGGGGCTTATGAGGACACTGGCCATGATGACCTAATTTTTCCAAAAGCTCACAAATTTTACATATACATACATACACATTTAATTCAAAACTAAAATAGTTTCTGATTAGCATTAGGGTTAGGTGTAGTGTTGGGTAGGGGGATAAAAAATAGAGGAAAATTATGTAATGTCCCCACAATTCACAAAAACAAGTGTGTGTGCATGAGCGTGTAGTGCACAGGTGTCAAACTCAGTTCTAAAAGGGCCGCAGCTCTGCACAGTTTAGTTCCAACCTTAATTAAACACACCTGATCAAACTAATTGAGTCCTTCAGGCTTGTTTGAAACCTACAGGTAAGTGTGTTGGAGCAGGGTTGGAACTAAACTGTGCAGGGCTTCGGCCCTCCAGGAATTGAGTTTGACACCCCTGGTGTAGTGTATGTGTGTATGTGAGTGTGTTTTGTCTCACTGGTATGTAGTAGGGCTGACGTTGATGCAGCGCGGGTGACTGCCCGACTCAAACTTGCTGGCCAGCGTGACGTTGTTCCCGAACAGACAGTAGCGCGGCATCATCACACCCACAACACCAGCCAGCACTGAGCCCGAGTGAATCCCGATCCTCAGCTACAGAGATGGAGGAGAGAGGGAAATCAAATCAGCTTTATTTACATGTACACTTGATGTCAACATTATTATTATTATATTTATTTCTTTCGTTTTTCCCGAATGATGTTTAACAGACCAAGGAAATTTTCACAGTTTTTCCTATAATATTTTTTTCTTCTGGAGAAAGTCTTATTTGTATTATTTCGGCTAGAATAAAAGCAGTTTTTAGAGCTATCGCCGCCCTCTCTATTCTGCCGCCCTTGACGCGGATATAACTGAGGGCGCGGGTGGTGAGGGTAGTGTCGGGGATGCCGCCCTCTCTATTCTGCCGCCCTTGACGCGGATATAATTGAGGGCGCGGGTGGTGAGGGTAGTGTCGGGGATGCCGTCCTCTCTATTCTGCCGCCCTTGACGCGGATATAACTGAGGGCGCGGGTGGTGAGGGTAGTGTCGGGGACGCCGCCCTCTCTATTCTGCCGCCATAAACGCGGATATAACTGAGGGCGCGGGTGGTGAGGGTAGTGTCGGGGACGCCGCCCTCTCTATTCTGCCGCCCTTGACGCGGATATAACTGAGGGCGCGGGTGGTGAGGGTAGTGTCGGGGACGCCGCCCTCTCTATTCTGCCGCCATAAACGCGGATATAACTGAGGGCGCGGGTGGTGAGGGTAGTGTCGGGGATGCCGCCCTAGACGTGGATATAACTGGGTGCGCGGGTGGTGAGGGTAGTGTCGGGGACGCTGCCCTCTCTATTCTGCCGCCATAGACGCGGATATAACTGACGGCGCGGGTGGTGAGGGTAGTGTCGCCGGCCTCTCTATTCTGAGGCACCGTGCCACACTTTTTACGTTATTGAACAAAGTAAACAATACAACCATAAATGGTCTGGAACAAATCAGACAACAGACAAATAGCAAATAGCAAAGCGTTTTACTAAATCACAGAGAATTAAGTCATTCTTTTTTTTATTTGTTTAAGCGAATAAAATTATGATTTTTAATCTGTTCTTATGTAAAAAGAACTTCCCAAGAATAATAATTGAGTTAAATTCTAAGTTACGCGTTTCATCTTTCAAAAATAAACCAAATAGTGCACTCCCTGACAAAAGTCCAAGTTTTAGGAACAACACATAATAAGTTGACTTCTAGTTGATCAATTGGTATCAGAAGTGGCTTATATGAAAGGTAAAGGCCTCCAGATGACGCTTATTTTTACCACAATAAAATATGATCATGCCTTGATTATTAATGATTTAATTAGGACAGTAAGGTCTGACTCTGCTTAGACTAAAGTCTCATCACTGAACAGAAATAATGTCCAGTATAGAATATAAAGTCCTGCTGCAGTGGAGACAGAATGAATATTGTGTCTGACTCCATCATGAGCTTGGAGGACTGCATCCATACATCTCTGCACTGACTCAAATCACTGATTAATAAAGTCATCTGGAATGGCAGAGAAAGCCTTCCTGCAGGACTCCCAGAGTTCATCAAGACTCTTTGAAATCATCTTCAATGCCTTCTCGATCTTACCCCAGACATGCTCAATAATGTTCATGTAGGCTGACTGGGCTGGCCAATCCTGGAGCAGCTTGACCTTCAGGAGCTTTGATGTGGAGGCTGAAGTATGTGAAGGAGCGCTATCCTGCTGGAGAATTGTCCCTCTCCTGTGGTTTGTAATGTAATGGGCAGCACAAATGTCTTGATACCTCAGGCTGTTGATGTTGCAGATCTCTCGCACACCCCCATACTGAATGTAACCCTAAACCATGATTTTTCCTTCACCAAACTTGACTGATTTCTTGAATCTTGGCTCCATGCGGGTTCCAGTAGGTCTTCTGCCGTATTGGTGATGATTGGGATGCAAATCAACTGATGATTCATCAGGAAAATCCACCTTCTGACACTTCAACAAATGATCGACTAGAAGTCAAGGTATTCTTTGTTTCTCTTAAAACTGAAATCCACAACAACACTTTTGTCACTTTTTCTGTTGTCAAAGCTTGTAAATCCCACCTTTGCATCTATGATGGCTTAAATGCTCTCTAGTATGTGTAATAGAGCTAAAATGTGCATGTGTGTGTGAAAACTAACCACACACATACACACACACACACACACACTAAAGCGTCACCATAGCAACTTCAGAGAAGATCTAATACTGTCAAGAGTGCAAGACGCACACCAGCCGAGCGCTAAAGAAGAGCTAACAAGGGCAGCAGTGACTGACAGCTGTCAATCACAGAGCAGTACACACCTTCCCAATCGCACTGATGTAATGGACGTAATGTTAGTACGAATGTTTTGCAACAGAGATAATGACACAGTCGTGACAGACGCTGGATCCGCATGTGAACACAGACATTATTCATGCGTTTCTAAACATCAGGCTTATTACGTGAGCTGAACCGAACTGCTCATAAACAGAGGTGTTATGGAAAGGGCAACTTATTACTGCCGCTCTCGTGTCACGGAGTCCACAAATATACACACTCACGCTCACATTTAATGATGATGCATGGTTGCCCACGGCGACGACCCTGATATTATTCATGGCCTTGTTGTCATGCTGACAGTGCTGTCAATCATACAGCAGACTAGACTACAGCGGAGTCTCTCCAGACATGTGCGCTAGCGTACTGTAACATTGGCTGTTTACGTCCACACATACAAATATTCAAATTACAATATACATAAAGCTTTTTAAATTGTTTCCATCTCATATCTTTAAAGTGCACATCAAATCAAAACTAACCATATTGTTTTGAGGTGAACAATTGAATAAGAGCTGGTGAATGGTTATAGTAATGCGTATGTATAATTATTATTCATGAGACTGTGTTGTTATTATCCTATGAGAAGACGCATTGCTTAATTATTCATGACAGCATGTGCTTATGCTTCAAACTGTGAGTCTACATGAGAGATGTGATTATGGATCACTCACAAGTGACTATTTGTTTTTGCTTTCGATGTGGGAAATAATATACCTTCTCATCAATATACAATTAAGACTTTACAGCTCTTTTGATATAACAATCAAATGTCTAGCCTAGAGCACCGTCTGCTGTTAAAAAGTAAGCCTAGTGTGCCATCTGCTGTTAAAAAGTAAACATAGAGTACTGTCTGCGGTTGAAAACTAGCTTAGAGCACCATTTTCTGTTAAAAAACTAGCCTAGAGTGCCATCTGCTGTTAAAAAGTAAGCCTAGTGCGCCATCTGCTGTTAAAAACTAGCCTAGAGCGCCATCTGCTGTTGAAAACTAGCCTAGAGCGCCATCTGCGGTTGAAAACTAGCCTAGAGCGCCATCTGCTGTTGAAAACTAGCCTACAGTGCCATCTGTTGTAAAAAATAGCCTAGAGCACCTTCTGCTGTTGAAAACTAGCCGAGGGTGCAATTTCTGTTTAAAAAAACTAGCCTAGAGCACCATGAGCTGTTAAAAACTAGCCTAGACCACCATCTGCTGTTAAAAACTAGCCTAGAGAACTGTCTGCTGTTAAAAACTAGCCAAGAGCACTGCCTGCTGTTAAAAACTAGCCTAGAGCGCCATCTGCTGTTGAAAACTAGCCTAGAGCGCCATCTGCGGTTGAAAACTAGCCTAGAGCGCCATCTGCTGTTGAAAACTAGCCTACAGTGCCATCTGTTGTAAAAAATAGCCTAGAGCACCTTCTGCTGTTGAAAACTAGCCGAGGGTGCAATTTCTGTTTAAAAAAACTAGCCTAGAGCACCATGAGCTGTTAAAAACTAGCCTAGACCACCATCTGCTGTTAAAAACTAGCCTAGAGCACCATCTGCTGTTAAAAACTAGCCTAGAGTACTGTCTGCTGTTAAAAACTAGCCTAGAGCACTGTCTGCTGTTAAAAACTAGCCTAGAGCACTGTCTGCTGTTAAAAACTAGCCTAGAGCGGTGTATTCTGTTTAAAACTAGCCTATAGCGTCGTCTTCTGTTAAACACTAACCTAGAGCGCCATCTTCTCTTAAAAACTACCATTGAGCGCTGTTTGCTGTTAAAAACTAGCCTATAGTGTCATCTGCTGTTAAAAATTAACCTAGAGCTCCATCTTCTGTTAAAAACTAGCCTAGAGCACCATCAGCTGTTAAAAAAAACTAGCCTAGACCACTGTCTGCTGTTAAAAACTAGCCTAGGGCGCCACTTTCTGTTAAAAAACTAGCCTAGAGTGCCACCTGCAGTTAAAAACTAGCCTAGAGCACCATCAGCTGTTAAGAACTAGCCTAGAGCAATGTCTGCTGTTAAAAACTAGCCTAGAGCACCATCAGCTGTTAAAAACTAGCCTAGAGCGCCACTATCTGTTAAAAAACTAGCCTAGAGTGCCATCTGCTGTTAAAAACTAGCCTAGAGCGGTGTCTTCTGTTAAACACTAGCCTAGAGTGCCATCTTCTCTTAAAAACAAGCCTAGAGCACTGTCTGCTGTTAAAAACTAGCCTAGAGCTCCATCAGCTGGTTAAAACTAGCCTAGAGCGGTGTTTTCTGTTTAAAACTAGACTATAGCATCATCTTCTGTTAAACACTAACCTAGAGTGCCATCTTCTGTCAAACACTAGCCTAGAGTGCCCTCTTCTCTTAAAAACAAGCCTAGAGCGCCATCTTCTCTTAAAAACTAGCCTAGAGCACCATCTTCTCGTAAAAACTAGCTTAGAGCGCCGTCTTCTCTTAAAAACTAGCCCAGAGCATCATCTGCTGTTTAAAACTAGCCTATAGTGTCATCTGCTGTTAAAATTAACCTAGAGCTCCATCTTCTATTAAGAACTAGCCTAGAGCACCGCCTGCTGTTAAAAAATAGCCTTGAGCACCCTTCTTTGTTAAAAACTAGCCTAGAGCACTGTTTGTTATAAAAACAGAATCAGAATTCAAGCAAAAATAGTGAAGCAAAATCTATGCAGAATCGGTTTCTCGAATGCTTTTTAAACACAATCAAGCCTTTAAAAACAGCTGACTTGTCACCCCTTCGGTCAAATTCTGAAATGATTCAGTTTAAAAAACAAACACAACCATCCCGGCCTTCATCACACAACATGCCTGGAGATCTGAACACACAGACACACAAGCGGCTCTCAGACACGCGATCAGCTCGTTGACTCGCACTAAACGAGAGAAAACAGCAACAATCTAACAATCAATTAGCGACAAGCACTTGAGTGTTCTGCTGTCGCCATGGCGACCGGATTCCGCACTCTCCCTCTGTCTCTACGGTGAGTCCAGTGCTGTCGACGCAGCTATTAAACACTAGATCCTTTGCACACACACACACACACACACACACACACACACACACACACACACACACACACACACACACACTCACACACACTGGTGGAGAAGTTAAACAACAGCTACGCCCTCAGCATACAGCCAACACAGGTGAGCAGATTAAAGAAATTAACTATATCAAACACATTGCAGACAGGCGGCACGGTGGCTCAGTGGTTAGCTTGTACAAGTCCTGGCTGGACAAGTTGGTATTTCTGTGTGGAGTTTGCATGTTCTTCCCGTGTTGGTTTCCCACAGTCCAAACACATGCGCTATGGAAATTGCACAAGCTAAATTGTCAGTAGTGTGTGTGTATGGGTATTTCCCAGTGATGGGTTGCAGCTGAAAGGGCATCCGCTGTGTAAAACAAATGCTGGATAAGTTGGCGGATGAATAAAGGGACTATGCTGAAGGAAAATGAATGAATAAAGCTGATTTAATTCGCATTAGTCTCATAATTGATGAAGTTTGCTTTACTAATTCTGTTATATCTGTCTCTCTGTGTGTGTGTGTGTGTGTGTGTGTGTGTGTGTGTGTGTGTGTGTGTGCGTGTGTGTGTGTGTGTGTGTGTGTATATATAAATATTATAGAAATGCAGAAAGCCATAGCAAACTTAACCGCTAATTCACCTTGATTGGCTTCCCGTCAGGCGTCAGCACTTCCTCTGACAGCTCCATCATCTTCAGCGCCATGAGTGCGATTGGCTTAGCATGGCTGTCAATCTTCCTGTGGAGCCCGCCCGCCACGCAGTACGCATCGCCAATAGTTTCAATCTGCAGAGAAGGGGAGAAGATTCTTATAAGAGTCTATTGAACGCAACTCTGAAATGATTAGCCCAAAAAAGCATCACTGCTAATGCTAATGCTGCTAATGCCAAACGCCGCTTTGTCATTAGCTAAGATGTGCTTTACATGAAAAAGTTAATGTTATGGGTTTTACAAAGTAGTAAGTAATACCAACACTTTCATAGAAGGAAAATCCCTGGTTTTACTGTGCACACATGATGGACAGACACAACACGTGTGTATACAAACACAACCATACACATAGACAAATACACACAAAAGACTCACACACACAAACAAACACAGACTCACACACAAATACTCAAGTGTGCACACAAACACAGATACAAATGCACAATTAAACACACACACAGACACACACTTACACACACACATACTCGTGTGCACACAAACACACATGCAAATGCTCAAACACGCAACACACAATCACACACACACACACACACACACATGCAAATGCTCAAACACGCAACACACAATCACACATGCAAATGCACATACACACAATCACACACACACACACACACACACTTGAGTACGCACACAAACACACATGCTAATGCACAAAACAACACACACAATCACTTACACACAGACACACACATACTGAAAGACACACAAACACACTCAAGCATGTGCGCACACATGCACAAACACACAAACAGACTCACACACTTACACACACACATACCCATGTGTGCACACAAACACACGTGCAAATGCTTAAACACGCAACACACAATCACACAAAGACACACACACACACACTCGAGTGCGCACGCAAACACACATGGAAATGCTCAAACACACAATCACACACAAAGACACACAAACACACTCAAGTGCGCACGCAAACACACATCAAATGCACAAACACACAATCACACACAAACACTCGAGTATGCACACAAACACACACACAATCACATACACACAGACACACACATAGAGAAAGACAAACACAAACACGCTCAAGCATGCGCACACACACATGCACAAACACACAAACAGACTCAGACACTTACACACACACACATACTCAGGTGTGCACACAAACACACATGCAAATGCTCAAACAAGCACATATAATTACATAGACACAGACACACACACACACACATACAAAAAAGACACACAAACACACTCAAGCATGCACACACACATGCACAGACCCACATAGACAGACACAAATTCACACACACTCATACATACATAGATGCACATAAACTCACACACTCATACATAGACAGACACTTACACACATACTTGTGCGCACACAAACACACATGCAAATGCACAAACACACACACATAGACAGTTAAACACACACACATCCAAACATACGCACAAAAACACACACACACACATACAGAAAGAAACACAAACACACTCAAGCATGCGCACATACATGCACAAACACACACACACACACACACACTCAGTTTTGGATTGGGCCTCTTGACGCTCTCAGGCGCTGCTGTCAGAATATAAACGCTCTCTGATGAACAACACTTAACACAACACAGGTGAGGGACACATGAATATGAATATCTCTCGCTCTCTCTCGAGACCAACTGATGCCGGCACACCAATCACAACAACAAACACCATTTGCATACAGGAAAAGACAAAGAGTGTGTGCGCGGTTCAGGGCTGGCATCGCATGCTCACACACAAACACACACATACACACACACTTTTATTTGCTGTAATGGAGTGCTGCCATTTATAATCCCAATTTATTGACATACACACACTAAGTGCCTTTTCATTGAACACGCGTCGGTCCACATCGTGTCCGTGCATGTGTGTGTGAGTGTTTTACAGAGCAGCTTGTAAAGTTAAAAGCTTTTAAATGATGATGTATTTCCAGATGCCCAGCTCAGAAATTCAATACAGTGGGGTATTTAAATAGCCCATATTATACATGAAAAAGGGTCATATTTGGGTTATAAGGGTCTCCAACAACATACTGATATGCATGCAAGATCAAAAAACACTTTCATGGTCTTATAATCTGCATTTATTTTTACCCAATTATCCCAGCGACTCCCATATGAATCGTTCAGTGATTCATTTGTTCCCAAACCCCTCCTTAGCGCGAAGCTAATCTGCACTGATTGGACCGATGACAGTCTGTTGCAAGTGTTCGACAGCGTTCAGCGCTAGACAAATGCCCAGCGCTAGACAAATGCCCAGCGCGGTTTGTCAAGCCCCCGGGGGACGGGCCAGCGCGATAACACCGTGACCGTCATGACCCCCCGCACGGGAAGTATGAACGACACTTAGCAGTGAAAATGAAACCGATAGCGTGCACATCATTTACAGAGCGTGATTTCCGTGACCGAGCTTTTCTCCCTTCTCAGCTGTAACTCAGATCATTTCTATTGGCAATTATTGCTGTGGCACCTCTTGCGTGAAGTGTTATATGTGCTCAGAGCTTACCTGTACTCTGCTTTACCCAAAGATCCCATCCCCAGCCAGGGGGTTGTAGTGCTCACCAGCGTGTAGCAGGCTGCCTTTGTGCCTAATAAACTGGCCTTATTTTGCACGCACCCCTGGTGTATTGTCTGCCCATTCTCACAAGTCTCATACATCAGTCTTTTCTGATCCTTCCTTTAACAAACGAATGAATCGCCCACTGTAGGCGTGTAGACTGCTGAATCACTTATTTCCCCTCACACCTTAAATAATATCCAGGTAAGCACAGCCTCTTCTTGACTCATGACTTCAGGATCTGTTTGTCTTCGCTGCTGTGTTAGTGGGCACGGCGCAGGTTTAAATTTTCCCGGGTTTGCGCGCATAACAACTATGTTTCGTAGTCACGTCGAAACGGCTAAAGACTCGATATGAAGACGATTCATTCTAACCACTATGAGTCGACTCTTTTTTTTTTAGATGAATCAATAGTTTAAAAAACTGTCCACTTTCAGATTTAAGCCTTAGCTGGATACTTCACTTCACTTAGATCTGTGTTACACACTACATGGAAGCTCGTTTTCGAAAACCCACAATAGGGGCTCTTTAAAACACGTTGCGGTCGTGTTTCACACCATAAATCTACAGACTAAACAGCTCTACAGTCAAAAAAGGATTTAAAGGGGACCTATTATGCCTCTTTTTACAAGATGTAAAATACGTCTCTGATGTCTCCAGAGTGTGTGTTTGAAGTTTCAGCTCAAAATACCACATAGATAATGGGTTATAGCCATAGACTGTAAAATATATGGACGTAGTATCCGTGACGTCACTCATAGGTTTCTAAAAAGCGCAAAAGAAGCCACAAGTAGGCGCGGCCAACCATCGCCATTTTGTTCGCACGTCATCACACCCACGGCGGGATACCAAACAAGGGCAAAGAGGCGGAGAGTGGGCGGAGCTACAGGCGCATGCTGGCATTTTGCTTGGACCTGGTTCAGACACCTGGTTTACTTTGGGAGAACGCTTAATACTTTATCACCTGCGACTCGTTTGTGTTCTGACCACTTGTGCTTGGTTGTATACTATATCAATAAAGTGTTTAGACTTTTAAAAACACTGCTGTAATACATTGAGCCACTAAACACTGTTCTTATGACGTTTCTCAACAGGGGGAAAACGCGAATTACATCCAAACACCTCAGATATAGTCTGTGTTAGTTAATGTAAGACTATTGATGAAATCCAGCAGAACACTGTATGACAACGCTTCAGATGACTGTTCTAGAGCCTACAGCTAATCAATCTGACAGATTCTGGAGTGCATTACAGCTCTAAATATAAATATAAACGATAAATGATCTTAAATAAAACACATACATGTATAGAGATGGTATATAAGTAAATAACTTTACTCACATGGGAAACGAAGGCCACGTGAATGGTTTGTGAGCACAATTAAGTGCACTCAGCATGCCAAGTGACCACTCCCTTAATTATGCAAACTTAATATAACTTAATATAAAGGAAACGGATGAGTTATTAAAAAATTCACCCCCATCACAGTTGTTATGAAGGGTAATATTAGCTGTATTAACCAAAATCTTTTTTTGTACCAGGCTGTAAACACCCTTTTTTCTGCTGTAAAGTTGGCCATTCTAACAGTGGGCTCAATTGAAATTTGCTCTGTTTTGGAGCCCGGAGCGGCCAGGACTAGCGGAACTTCAGATGAATTGCAGTTTTAGTTACTTCCGTATTGGCTTCCTGAGAGAGAGAGGGAGGTTGCCGCTTGGTTATAGCTCCCTGAAGCTGACCCTTTTAGGCTTTGATCCTAATCGTGGCATTTTGGCGACTGTCGCTTTAAATGCAAATAAGATTGTGCTCTTTTTCAAAAGAGGGCGGAGCTACAGATGCCTATGTGTCAGCATGGTGGCAGATTCAGAAAACTAACTACTGAGGCTCAGATGGTGACTAGTGGGCGGGGCTTTCCCCCTCTGATGACATGTACAAAGGGAGAATGTCATTCAAAGGGTTTCTGCATCAAGTCTGATTATAACAAATACAATTAATACATTTTTACCATTGTAAGCTGGCTATATGCACAGACTACTTAAACCGCTAATAAAATTGATTTTTAATAATAGGTCCACTTCAAAACAAAAAGAAATGGCTTTTAAAGGTGCAGTAGATGATCTGCCACAGTGCATCTAGACAATGTTCATAGCGCTTCACTTTTTCCACATTTGTTTATGTTACAGCTTTATTCCAAAATGGATTAAACTATTCGTCAACATTCTACACACAATCCACCATAATGACAATGTAAAAAAAAAGAGTTTTTGAAATGGTTGCAGATTTTTATAAAATTAAAAAGCTGAAAAATCACATGTGCATCAGTATTCACAGCCTTTGGTGTGAAGCTTTAAATTGAGCTCAGGTAGATTCTGTTTGCACTGATCATTCTTGAGATGTTTCAGCAGCTTCATTGGAGTTCACCTGTGGTCAATTCAGTTGATTGAACATTATTTGAAAGGGCATACACCTGTCTATATAAGGGCCCAGGGTTGACAGTGCATGTCAAAAGCACAAACCAAGCATGAAGACAAAGGAATTGTCTGTAGACCTCCGAGACAAGATTGTCTCGAGGCAGAAGGCTGGGGAAGGTTACAGAAATATTTCTGCTGCTCTGAAAGTTCAAATGAGCACAGCGGACGCCATCTTCCAGAAATGGAAGATGTTTGAACCACCAGGACTCTTCCTAGAGCTGGCCGGCCATCTAAGCTGAGTGATCAGGGGGGAAAGGCCTTAGTCAGGGAGGTGATCAATTACCCGATGGATACTCTGTCTGAGCTACAGCGTTCCTCTGTGGAGAGAGGAGAACCTTACAGAAGGACAACCATCTGTGCAGCAATCCACCAATCAGGCCTGTATGGTAGAGTGGCCAGACGGAAGACACTCCCTGCTTGGAATTTGCCAAAAGGCATCTGAAGGACTCTCAGACCATCAGAAACTAAATTTCTGGTTTGATGAGACTAAAATTTAACTATTTGGAGTGTATGCTAGGCGTTACGTATGGAGAAAACCAAGCACCGCTCATCACCAGGCCAATATTATTCCTAGAGGGAAAGATGAATGCAGCAATGTACAGAGAGACATGATGAATAGAAACCTGCTGCAGAGTGCGCTTGACCTCAGATTGGGGTAACGGTTCATCTTTAAGCAGGACGATAACCCAAAGCACACCGCCAAAATATCAATGGAGTGGCTTGACAACAACTCTGTGAATGTCCTTGAGTGGCCCAAGTGCAGCCCAGACCTAAATCCTATTGAACATCTCTGGAGAGATCTGAAAATGGCTGCACACCGTCACGTCCCATCCAACCTGATAGAGCTTAAGAGGTGCTGCAAAGAGGAATGGGCAAAAACTCTCAAAGACAGGTGTGCCCAGCTTTTGGCATGATATTCAAAAAGACTCGAGGCTGTAATCGCTGCCAAAGGAGCATCAACAAAGTATTGAGCAAAGGCTGTAAATACTGATGTACATGTGATCTTTCAGGTTTTTTATTTGCAATTAATTTTCAACAATTTCAAAAACTCTTTTTCACGTTGTCCTCAAGGGGAATTGTGTGTAGAATGTTGAGAAAGTAAAGGAATTTAATCCATTTTAGAATAAGGCTGTATTGAAAACAATTGTGGAAAAAGTGAAGCGCTGTGAATACTTTCTGAATGCACTGTATGTAGTTGCTAGTAACACCTTAGCAACTACATGACAACACATTCTAGCCAGACTGAATAATAAACATAACATATGAAGGATTTTTCCCTCAAAATTAGCTTTTCCATAATAGTGGAAATGCTAATTAAATAACATTTATTTTTATTTTAAAGGGGACGTATTAGTAAAAATCACTTTAATAAGGGGTTTAAACACAATTGTGTGGCAGCAGTGTGTGAACATAACCAGCTTCTAATTCAAGAGTTCACACTTAGCTGATGATTAATTATAAAAGCTTGTTTAGCATGCTGTCCCGGGAGAGAGCCCTGAGCTCATGAGATCCTCGAGCCCAGGGCTCCCTCCCATTGCAAGGCGGGAGGGGAGTTTGAGCTCAGGTAGATCTCGAGAACTCCCCTGCTGTAGCAAGTGATTGCTCTTGAAAATAACTACGTACTAGAAGCGTGTCTATGGTGCCAATTTGGATCGTTCAATTGACTTCATTGCATGTTTTTAGGCGGTGGGAGGAAACCGGGGGAAACCCACGTGAGCACGGGGAGAAGTGCAAACTTCACACAGAAATGTCTGCTAGTTTGGTAAAGCCAGGAACCAGAGACATTCTTGCTGTGAGGCGACAGTGCTACGCACTGGGCCACCGTGTCACCCGTCTAAGAAGGAGGAGTAGGGGAGGAAGGGGGGACTCTTCAAAATGAAGATAGCAGTGGAATGAAACCCAGGGTATTTATAGTAGTTTAGGAGTCGTCTGATTGGAGCGTAGTGAATTAGATAATGCGGATCCAGCCGCTAGCAATCATAAGCACGTGATCCTCTCGAAATTTGTTTATATATAAACTTCACTAATAACACCAGGCGGTGCATGAGGAAAGCCAAGAGAATTATCAGCGACTCCAGCCACGCAAGCCATAGACTTTTCTCTCTACTACCCTCAGGCAGACGGTTCCGCAGCATCCGGTCACGCACCAGCCGACTGAAGGAAAGCTTCTTCCCTCAGACTTTCAGGCTGATGAACACTTAACACACCCCACACAGACTCTTCCATACCTCTCATTGCACACCATCAATATGTAGCATGCACCGCACTTTAACCAATCCATACTTGAAACAATACTGCCTACAACTATGTGGACACCTATTCATTGTACATATCGCTGTCAATTTTACATTGTCCTGTTTTTTTTGGGAGTGTGCTGTTGTATTTTGCACTGTCATTGTATTTGCACTGTCTATATGTTGCATCTGGAGCCAGCACCTAAGCTTTTCACTCATCATAGCACACGTACTGCTGATGATGTGACAATAAAAGTGATTTGATTAGATAAAAATATATTAATTGTATTTTTTATAATCAGACTTTATAAAAACAGAAACATAATAGAAACAGACAAGCCCCGCTCACCAGTGACCATCTCTTCCTCATTAAATTAAGATTACAAAACATTTAACTAAGAGTAAATTAAAAAGAAAAACAATCAAATATAAGAACTACTATTAATCATGCAATCGTTCGAAAAAAAAATCTAAATTTGCCAGCAAAATGAACCCTAGTTTACCTTATAGACGTCCAGTATGCCGCACTGGTAGTCGAAGCGCGTGTAGAGCTCGTTCAGCATGCTGATGACCTGCATTGGCGTGCACTGCGCACACACGGCCGTGAAGCCCACGATGTCAGAGAACAGCATGGTGACATCATCAAACTTCTTGGCCTGAACCGGAAGGCCCTGCCAGAGTCTCTGAGCCACGTCACCGGGAAAAATAGAGTAGAGCAAGTCCACCGTCCTCCGCTTCTCCTCCTCTAAAGCCTGGTGCGTTTTCTCCAGCGTGGCTTTCAGTTTGTCCATCCGCTTCTTCAGTCCGTCCTGAGCTTTGGCCTGTTCTCCAACCTACAGAGACAATGAGAGAGAAATCAATGTAAATATCTTAAATATTATTATTTATTGTTACTGTTTTAAACCTATATGTTGAATTTTGTTTAAAAAAATTGATATTTAATTATAAGTCATTTCTAGGGCACACCCACCAAAATGACATCACGTGTGGCGTCATGAATAGGGATGTCAGACAGATGTAAGCCCCGCCCCATCAGCTCTTCCAGCCTATCAACACGTGGCGAGCCCAGAAACATGATGGAGTTTGATTCGGGGAGGTGAAGCATCTGCCCTTTCAGCTCCATTACCTGAAAACACACACACACACACACACACACACACACAACTTCAATGTTATTCGACTTTTAATTAAAAAAAAGTATTTCAAAATATGGCCTCAGTGGCCGCAATTTAGAAATTAAAAATTTGAGAAAAAAAGACAATGAACAATCCAAAAGAAGAACAAAAAAAAAACACTGTAACAGGAATCAAATAGAGGATGAAAAACATTTTCTTCTTATCTGTCCCAAATCCCTACTTACACTATGCTATCCCAACCGTGCCCAGGCCCGTTTCCCGGATTGTTTGAGAAGTGTGAGTGCAAAACGCACCAAAGGCCGAAACTAAAAGCGAGACGTGACTTTTAAGGGACTGTTTCATATGGATTAATTAATCAATCTTACTGTTAAGTGAACGCAAACTGCCGTAGATTATTAAAGACGCAAACCCCTCACTGCACGACAGCTGCACCTTCAGCAAACCTCCTAATTCCTGCAGCACAAGGACTTTATGATTGTTTATGAGCGCCAAAAGTGGTGGATCTGTTCGGCGAAATATCTGACTTCGCGTCACCGCCCTAAGGACAACGACTAAAATGATATAACTAGACAAATCTCCACTGTGCTGAGCGAGAGCGCTTCTCACTGAACAGCGCAGCTTCGATGACGTAAGCATGCCCAGGACCCATTGTAGTGTGAGTGCGGGCCGTCGGGGATATACAGCCACATTTCACTGCTACTCATTTCACTGCTACTCATGTGATATTGCATTTATGTGATAGTTTGATGGCATTATCGTGTGTATAAAAATAAAATCAAACACAGTCTAAAAACCCTTTTTTATGAGGAACTACTTTCTTCCGCCATTCATTCACTTCTGCAGCTGATGTCTGAAAAGCAGAAATTGTTGCTCATTCACCAATGTCACTTTAGAGCTAGTGTTTGAATGATTCTCTAGCGTAATGTCTAAAGTGATGACAAAACAGCTGATTTTGCTCACATTTTAAGATTATAAGACTGAACGGCATGAAATGCCATCAGTCTACGGAGATTTTTCAGTATTAAATATACTGTGTCTCTCAGAGATAGGTTGTGGCTGGAAAGGCATCCGCTGAGTCAAAACATGCTGGCTAAGGTGGCGGTTCATTCCTCTGTGGCGACCCCGGATTAATAAAGGGACTAAGTCGAAAAGAAAATGAATGAATGAATATATATACTGTATATGTATATACTGTGTGTGTGTGTGTGTGTGTGTGTGTGTGTGTGTGCAAATTATACATATATATATATATACACACACACACACACACACACACACACACACACACACACACACACACACACACACACACACACATAAAGCCAGTTGCCGAGACAGTCCAGTATGTTGACATTATCAGGGGACAATGTGGACCTTTTCCTTTGAATGATGTGTGCTGAGCGTGCAATGTAATCTAACGGCAATTCGTAACTTTTTGATATATATATATATATAATCTTACAATGAAGTAATATTAAATCACCACAGAAACCACTTAGAATATTATTATGAAATATAGAACAATAATGTCTAAAATTAAGTGAGTTTTTTCTTAAAACAAGCAAAATTATTATTAATGGGGTAAACAAAATAATTTTATTTCATAAGGAAAACACACAAAAAGATTACTTAAATCAACATAGCAACCACTAAAATAATATTGCTTCAAAATAATAATAATAATAATAATAATAATAATAATATTAATAAAATAAAAAAAATAATATTAACAATAATAATAATGTTAAAATTTGTTAATAATGTAATGTTATACAAAAACACTCAAAATGACCAGTAAACCACTAAAATCCTTATAGTAACCACTTAAACTCCCTAGCAACAGCGTCCTAACATCTCCCCAGCATAACCGCATTAGGTTATCTAACAGGACAGAGATATTGACTTCACACTTGTTCACAAGCTCTAATGGAGGCAAACAAGAATTCACGGTGTCAGTGGAAAGTTTAGTATGTTGTAGAAGTGTGAGTGTGCGTGTGTGAAAAAATGCAAGCATGTGTGTGTTTTTCCTCGCCTCTGTCCCGGCTGTATAGATGTATTATGCAGAGACGGGGAGTTCTGCTTAAATAATGCAGTATGCTGCAAGACTGGGCTGTGCGTCTGTCTGTGTGTGTGTGTGTGTGTTTGTGTGATCGTACACTTCTGTACTCAGTCTCATCACTCTAAAACTTCCCTGTTTCTATGGCGATGAGAGGACTGTGAACTCGACCCTCTACACAATCATCCAGCAGATGCACACATACTTGTATCATACAGTTTCGCTTTCATGTTTCAAGTGTTCATTCCTACATTCGAGAACACACACACACACACACTTCTTCTAGGGGGTCTCCATGGCAACCTTGTAAATGAGCAAATTTCCAATTCACTTCGTTCTGACACACCTCTAAAAAGCCTGATATATACAGCTGAAGGCAAAATTATTAGCCTCCATATGAATAATATATTTTCCCATGTGCTGTTTAATGGAAAGAGGGTTTTTCCAACACATTTCTAAACACAAGTTTTACTAGCTCATTTCTAATAACTGATTTATTTTATCTTTGCCAAGATGACAGTAAATAAAATTTGACTAGATATTTGTCAAGACACTTCTATACAGCTTAAAGTGACAATTAAATGGGGAAATGAAGCACTCAGTCAAGTTTACATAATTTCAAACTCGATTAATGTAACTATTTAGAATAAAACGGCATGTTTTACTATAGATTTTAGACCTAAAATCTAGGTCTAAAATCGCCGCAATCTTGAAATATCCCTATGTCTGACATCCCGGGGTTGGTTCTGTTCCCTCAGCTGAACAGATACAGTGGAAGTAATGGACTGAACACGAAGACTGGACAGCCTTATTTAACCCAATGCTTGAAGTTGTGGACATGGAGCTGGTGCAAATACAAGCATCAGACTATATATATATATATATATTCAGTTCAATTTATTTCACCTTTATTTATAAAGCGCTTTTAAAATTTGGATTGTGTCAAAGTTCAGTATTTTTAGTGTTCAAGTTCAGTTCAGTTTAGCTCAGTTCAGTGTGCTTTACCGATCCTAAACCATGCAAGCTAGAGGCGACAGCGAAGAGGGAAAAAAAAAACTTCACCGATTGGTGAAAGTGAAGAAAAAAGAAAAATTTGATATATATCCCACATGTGTCTAATACACACACACACACACATATGTATAAATATATATATATATACAGTTGAAGTCAGAATTATTAAACCCCCTTCATATATTTTTTGCTTTATTAAGTATTTCCCAAATTATATTTAACAGAGCAAGGAAATTTTTACAGTTTGTCTGATAATATTTTTTCTTCTGGAGAAAGTCTTATTTGTTTTATTTAAAAAAAAATTTAAACACCATTTTAGGGTCAGTATTATTAGCCCCTTTAAGCTATTTTTTTCCCCGATAGTCTAAAGAACAAATCAATCATTACACAAAAACTTGCCTAATTACCCTAACCTGCCTATTTAACCTAATTAACCTAGTAAAGACTTTAAATGTCACTTTGTCAATTTCTGTGTGGAGTTCGGGCTCATCTTTGGGGTCATCTGAAGGCTATTGTCTATAATGTGCAGATACGAGATGTGCAGCACCTGAAACTACGGATACTGGACGCCTGTGCTGGCATTTCTCCTGCGGTGTTGCTGTCAGTGTGTGAAGAGTGGGAGAAGAGCGTTGCATTGACAATCCAACACAATGTGCAGCACATTAAACACATTTTATAAGTGGTCAGAAACTTGTAAATAACTCATAAAAGAATAAAGTTACGTTAAAACAAAGCACAACATTGTTTTTTTTTTTGTTTGTTTTTTTTTTAATTCCCAATAAGTTTGATATGTCAAATGGCACTCTTCCTATTGACAAAACAAAAGTTGGATCCAAGATGGCCGACTTCAAAATGGCCACCACCCATCTTGAAAAGTTTGCTCCCTTACATATACTAATGTGCCACAAACAGGACGTTAATATCACCAACCATTCCCCTTTTATTAAGGTGTATCCATATGAATGGTCCACCCTGTATATTGTTTAAAACGAGACAATAGTTTTGCTTGTCTAGAAAATGCTTCTTGATTTAAGAATCTTTTGATATCCGAACTAGAAACAAGATTAAACCCTGCGTAAGAAGTGCGAATAATCATTTAATATTTAAAAGTAGGTAGATAACGACCCAGTAGTAAATGATGTGATTTGTTTCTTAAACTAAAGTGTTAGCGATTAAATATGTATGGTTTAAAGATATGCATCTGATTGAACTGAAATGCACTGCAAATAAGATGCAGATTTTCATGCTGAAATAAAGGGCTAAAGTAGCAGAACTGTTTAATGACTTCACCCCATGGAGTAACAAAAGCATTAAAGCACAAATCCTGAAGCTCAACTCCTGCGACGAGAGACTTTCAACACAGCAGAATCCTGCAGGAGAGATCCTGGCTCCGGTTCAAGCTTCACTGCAGAGGAACCGTTTATAGAACCAAACAATAAATATATAATCAGCCCAGAGATACAGACATATGCTTCCTCTGGCTTCAATATACACACACACGCACATACACACACACACACATAAAAAAAATAAATAAATAAAATAAATAAAAACCTCTTTCTTCAGCAGTCTATGTCTGTGAATGTATTTGTGGAAACTCTCTATTGTTAGTGGTGCGTCCTCCAGAACTGGATTTAGAGCAGCGTTTAAACTCTGATTCTGCTTCTGACTTTGATTCTGGATTTGTGTCGAGGCAGAAAAGAAAAACGCAGAGCGGCAGTTTTACTTTGAGGAAGTGGAGAAGAAAATAACCACTTTTTAGATGGATGACTAAAAAACGACTAATGGAACGATGGATTAAAAGATGGAAAAATGGAACGATGCAGAGAAAAATGGAACAATGGAGAGAAAGACAAAATCGGGACGATGGATAGAAGGACAAAAAATGAATGGATGGATAGAAATATGGAAATAGAAATG